TTTTTTTTCTAGGCCACAGTTGAGAAACCGAATTCAGATATCAATATTTTATCACTGTTATTTTGAATCGTGGTGTCTTTTTCTTGCCAATTTGCGATTGCGTCGCTAGTACTTTCTCTGTTTTATTCTTGATTGGTTGTTTTCTTTGGACTGCTCCACTTCAGGTGGAGTTATATATTGGACAGAGAATAGCAGGACAGAAAACATGACGATTTCTTGGGGCTGGTAAGATGTTCCTATCGTATTCTATCACTATTTCTCACTTCTCTGGTTCCATTGAGATAAGACACATCACTGCCATTTTAGAAATCGCCAAGGTGGATTTTATTATCTTTTTTCCTAGTAAACAGTAAATCTTAATTACACTTGTACAGGAACACATTAAGGGTTTGACTTGAACCAGCGACATGCTTACGGATACCTAACAAAAAGGTCCAAAGACACTGATATCTGCTCCAGGTGAGTTGGAAATAGTTTTAGCCGTAGGTTTGTTGATAGTTGATTCTGAAAAACACTGATATCTTTTGCACCATGTGGTGGTCTAAGATGCTCTACTGTTTGCTGGAATTTCGACAAACATCTGCCCTGTGGACGATGTTGATGCTCGGACAATCTTTGTCACTAATGTAATAAATTGTACATATCGTATTCGTGGCTGAGATAAATCTTTTGTGTCTTTGCCTTGTTTCCTGTTCTTGTTCATTCTGTACTAGTTTAGTATTGTAGGTAGTTTTCACTTCCATTCTTCTTTTTTCTGTACAAAGGTTCTTATTCCGTATGACCGGTTTTTATACATTCCTTGAGGTAGGTTGTTTAAATCACTCTCTTGCGCGTTGCAGTATGCATTTTTGTATGAAAAATCTGTCTTTTTACGGGATGCTATCCCGTGATTCTTGGAGATTGACTTCTGATTTCATCGTAGGTTGTATATTTCTATTACTATTATTGTAAATTTATGGTTATTCTGCTGGAACATCTATATCTCCTTAGGTGGTAAGATTCCTAAAGTAACAATGCCCAACGTCGAGCAACTGGTTGCTAAAGATGCGAAAGGTAGAGTACTGATGGGTAAGAGTTTGTTTTTGAGGGTTGTATCTGACATTTGGGTTTTTTCTAATCTCTCAAGACTTGTACTGAATGAATAATAGCTCGTTCCCATAAACTTTTTGAATGTTGTTTGTTTTTCTTTTCCTTTCTTCATATTAGGATTAATCCCTAAGCAGGTTCATTGGGTAGGATTGTAATAAACATTTTCCAATTTAAAGATGGAACTGACCGTTGTAAGGATGCTCACGAATCTGTCGTGAACGGTTCCCCTGTTTCTGAAGAGTTTAAGTTACAGGTATAACGTCAGCCTTTAAGTATATTTTCCCTCAATGACGCATGTCTATTTATCATAGCACTTAACGAACTTTTTACGAGATTTGTGTCTGCTTTAGGTGATCAAAGAAGAAGCTAGCGGAAGAGAAAAAAATTGTTGTGTGTTTTTTTTCTAGGCCACAGTTGAGAAACAGAATTCAGATATCAATATTTTATCACTGTTATTTTGAAACGTGGTGTCTTTTTCTTGCCAATTTGCGATTGCGTCGCTAGTACTTTCTCTGTTTTATTCTTGATTGGTTGTTTTCTTTGGACTGCTCCACTTCGGGTGGAGTTATATATTGGACATTGAATAGGAGGACAAAAAACATGACGATTTCTTGAGGCTGGTAAGATGTTCCTATCGTATTCTACCACTATTTCTCACTTCTCTGGTTCCATTGAGATAAGACACATTACTGCCATTTTAGAAATCGCCAAGGTGGATATTATTATCTTTTTTCCTAGTAAACAGTAAATCTTAATTACACATGTGTAGGAACACATTAAGGGTTTGTCTTGAACCAGCGACATGCTTACTGATACCCAGCAAAAAGGTCCAAAGACACTGACATCTGCTCCAGGTGAGTTGGAAATAGTTTTAGCCGTAGGTTTTGTTGAAACTCGATTCTGAAAAACACTGATTATCTTTTGCACCATGTGTTGGTCTAAGATGCTCTACTGTTTGCTGGAATTTCGACAAACATCAGCCCTGTGGATGATGTTGATGCTCGGACAATCTTTGTAAGTAATGTAATAAATTGTACGTATCGTATTCGTGGCTGAGATAAATCTTGTGTGTCTTTGCCTTGTTTCCTGTTCTTGTTCTCTGTGCTAGTTTAGAACTGTAGGTAGTTTTCACTTCCATTCTTCTTTTTTCTGTACAAAGGTTCTTATTCCGTATGACTGCTTTTTATACATTCCTTGAGGTAGGTGGTTTAAATCACTCTCTTGTGCGTTGCAATATGCATTTTTGTATGAAAAATCTGTCTTTTTACGGGATGCTATCCCGTGATTCTTGGAGATTGACTTCTGATTTCACCGTAGGTTGTAGATTTCTATGACTATTATTGTAAAGTTATGGTTATTCTGCTGGAACATCAATATCTCCTTAGGTGGTAAAATTCCTAAAGTAACAATGCCCAACGTCGAGCAACTGGTTGCTAGAGATGCGAAAGGTAGAGTACTGATGGGTAAGAGTTTGTTTTTGAGGGTTGTATCTGACATTTGGGTTTTTTCTAAGCTCTCAAGACTTGTACTGAATGAATACTAGTTCGTTCCCATAAACTTTTTGAATGTTGTTTGTTTTTCTTTTCCTTTCTTCATATTAGGATTAATCCCTAAGCAGGTTCATTGGGTAGGATTGTAATCAACATTTTCCAATTTAAAGATGGAACTGACCGTTGTAAGGATGCTCAAGAATCTGTCGTGAACGGTTCCCCTGTTTCTGAAGAGTTTAAGTTACAGGTATAACGTCAGCCTTTAAGTATATTTTCCTTCAATGACGCATGTCTATTTATCATAGCACTTAATGAACTTTTTACGAGATTTGTGTCTGCTTTAGGTGATCAAAGAAGAAGCTAGCGGAAGAGAAAAAAATTGTTGTGTGTTTTTTCTCTAGGCCACAGTTGAGAAACCGAATTCAGATATCAATATTTTATCCCTGTTATTTTGAATCGTGGTGCCTTTTTCTTGCCAATTTGCGATTGCGTCGCTAGTACTTTCTCTGTTTTATTCTTGATTGGTTGTTTTCTTTGGACTGCTCCACTTCGGGTGGAGTTATATATTGGACATTGAATAGGAGGACAGAAAACATGACGATTTCTTGAGGCTGGTAAGATGTTCCTATCGTATTCTACCACTATTTCTCACTTCTCTGGTTCCATTGAGATAAGACACATTACTGCCATTTTAGAAATCGCCAAGGTGGATATTATTATCTTTTTTCCTAGTAAACAGTAAATCTTAATTACACTTGTGTAGGAACGCATTAAGGGTTTGTCTTGAACCAGCGACATGCTTACTGATACCCAGCAAAAAGGTCCAAAGACACTGACATCTGCTCCAGGTGAGTTGGAAATAGTTTTAGCCGTAGGTTTTGTTGAAACTTGATTCTGAAAAACACTGATATCTTTTGCACCATGTGTTGGTCTAAGATGCTCTACTGTTTGCTGGAATTTCGACAAACATCTGCCCTGTGGATGATGTTGATGCTCGGACAATCTTTGTAAGTAATGTAATAAATTGTACGTATCGTATTCGTGGCTGAGATAAATCTTGTGTGTCTTTGCCTTGTTTCCTGTTCTTGTTCTTTCTGTGCTAGTTTAGTACTTTAGGTAGTTTTCACTTCCATTCTTCTTTTTTCTGTACAAAGGTTCTTATTCCGTATGACTGGTTTTTATACATTCCTTGAGGTAGGTGGTTTAAATCACTCTCTTGTGCGTTGCAATATGCATTTTTGTATGAAAAATCTGTCTTTTTACGGGATGCTATCCCGTGATTCTTGGAGATTGACTTCTGATTTCACCGTAGGTTGTAGATTTCTATGACTATTATTGTAAAGTTATGGTTATTCTGCTGGAACATCAATATCTCCTTAGGTGGTAAAATTCCTAAAGTAACAATGCCCAACGTCGAGCAACTGGTTGCTAGAGATGCGAAAGGTAGAGTACTGATGGGTAAGAGTTTGTTTTTGAGGGTTGTATCTGACATTTGGGTTTTTTCTAATCACTCAAGACTTGTACTGAATGAATAATAGTTCGTTCCCATAAACTTTTTGAATGTTGTTTGTTTTTCTTTTCCTTTCTTCATATTAGGATTAATCCCTAAGCAGGTTCATTGGGTAGGATTGTAATCAACATTTTCCAATTTAAAGATGGAACTGACCATTGTAAGGATGCTCAAGAATCTGTCGTAAACGGTTCCCCTGTTTCTGAAGAGTTTAAGTTACAGGTATAACGTCAGCCTTTAAGTATATTTTCCTTCAATGACGCATGTCTATTTATCATAGCACTTAACGAACTTTTTACGAGATTTGTGTCTGCTTTAGGTGATCAAAGAAGAAGCTAGCGGAAGAGAAAAAAATTGTTGTGTTTTTTTTCTAGGCCACAGTTGAGAAACAGAATTCAGATATCAATATTTTATCACTGTTATTTTGAAACGTGGTGTCTGTTTTTTTGCCAATTTGCGATTGCGTCGCTAGTACTTTCTCTGTTTTATTCTTGAGTGGTTGTTTTCTTTGGACTGCTTCACTTCGGGTGGAGTTATATATTGGACATTGAATAGGAGGACAGAAAACATGACGATTTCTTGAGGCTGGTAAGATGTTCCTATCGTATTCTACCACTATTTCTCACTTCTCTGGTTCCGTTGAGATAAGACACATTACTGCCATTTTAGAAATCGCCAAGGTGGATATTATTATCTTTTTTCCTAGTAAACAGTAAATCTTAATTACACTTGTGTAGGAACACATTAAGGGTTTGTCTTGAACCAGCGACATGCTTACTGATACCCAGCAAAAAGGTCCAAAGACACTGACATCTGCTCCAGGTGAGTTGGAAATAGTTTTAGCCGTAGGTTTTGTTGAAACTTGATTCTGAAAAACACTGATATCTTTTGCACCATGTGTTGGTCTAAGATGCTCTACTGTTTGCTGGAATTTCGACAAACATCAGCCCTGTGGATGATGTTGATGCTCGGACAATCTTTGTAAGTAATGTAATAAATTGTACGTATCGTATTCGTGGCTGAGATAAATCTTGTGTGTCTTTGCCTTGTTTCCTGTTCTTGTTCTCTGTGCTAGTTTAGAACTGTAGGTAGTTTTCACTTCCATTCTTCTTTTTTCTGTACAAAGGTTCTTATTCCGTATGACTGGTTTTTATACATTCCTTGAGGTAGGTGGTTTAAATCACTCTCTTGTGCGTTGCAATATGCATTTTTGTATGAAAAATCTGTCTTTTTACGGGATGCTATCCCGTGATTCTTGGAGATTGACTTCTGATTTCACCGTAGGTTGTAGATTTCTATGACTATTATTGTAAAGTTATGGTTATTCTGCTGGAACATCAATATCTCCTTAGGTGGTAAAATTCCTAAAGTAACAATGCCCAACGTCGAGCAACTGGTTGCTAGAGATGCGAAAGGTAGAGTACTGATGGGTAAGAGTTTGTTTTTGAGTGTTGTATCTGACATTTGGGTTTTTTCTAATC